TAAAACTGAAAAAGCAATAACACTCTATCAGGCAGTTGTACAATGACAACATGATGTTAACTAGTTCAGCTCAGGAAGCTGCTGCCTGGCACTTTTCTGTCTGTACTGTCTGTCCAATGACTGTACCTATATACTTCAGTACTTCTGTTAATGTAGTCTATATAAGGCACCATTTCCTTAAGAAAGTTAAATACACTTTCATGGTGTTTTTCACATTCAGCTGCAGAGCCAACCAAGAATATCCACACTGGTATCTCTACAGTGTGGCTGCCTACTGAATCTGAATCCTGGTGAAGTTGTTATGCAGATTCCTGCTTGGTAACTCACCCAGGTGACATTATGTGGATCAGCACTAGCTCGGCCCAACTAGCATAGCGGTTAGAAACAGGGAAACCCATCACATAGGTCACACCTCCAGGGTGGTAATGGTTACTGAGCACCTTCAGAGCAAACAGGACCCCTAGAAACACAGTCATATTAACAAAGACAGGGGGGTTAGGAAATGTCACCATGGTGGGATTACTTTATTTAAAAAATAAATAAATAGTGGCACACCATGTGGTGTACGGAGATACAATATATGGGCTGTTTTACTGTATGTAATGTAATATCACTTCACTGCACCTTCAAAGAAAAAAAAGGAATTTAAAAAAATGTGATTACAAAAATCCCAATTATCAATAAACACATAGGTGCATTGAAGATGACACAATGCAACAAGAAGACAAGAAGAGAAAGTCATTAAATACCATTAAAAAATAAACAAATGAAAGAAAAAGAAGTCACAATCAAATTAAAAATGATTTCTTTAACTTGTCAGCCATTTTTTCTGTCACAAACCTACACCTTTATTTTCTATTATTTGGACGTTTTTTTGCCACCGTTACTTTTATTAGGACAGTTGGGAGTTGTACATCTTTAGGTAGTTGTATAGATGAGTGTATACCTGAGAAGCCAACAGCACAGGCCATGCTGTAGGACTGGTCCTGGGTGAGCTCTGTTAACAACGCCTCCAGCCCCAGATACACCAATCCAGTGAGCAGAGAGAAGACCGACAGCAGGTAGACGAACCAGGGTCCGCCCAGCCGTTGCTCCAGCTTGATACCTTTCCAGAGGAAGGACGCCATGTTGAAGTAGAGGTGCCAATCATCTGCATGGTGCAGTGGGGACAGCAGAAGGCGGCGCCAGTCTTTAAACCAGTATGCCTGCTGGACACTCACACAGGCCTGAGGATTGGATCGATATTAGTATATTAGTACTGATAATATAGTACAAGGCAATGGTGCATTTTCATTATAGTCAAATAAAATAATAAATTATTCACACCATTGCAGAAAACAACAACATTGTACTAATCATGTATAGTCAGATACTTGCAGAAATATCTGTTTTTAA